TATATATATATATATATGAGTATTTATAAAAAAGGGATATTGACAATTAAGACTATAATTAATGACAGAATTTAAGACAATTAATTTTAAAATATTTAATTATTTAAAATTAATTAAAATTATGATAATTAGATTATTGCATCTCATTAAAATTAATATTAAATTTTAAAAACAATAATCAATAAAACAATTATTTTAAATTTAAAATAATTTCATAAATAAACTTATCCTTTAAAATATTTCAAAATATACAACACAAAATTTAAAGAAATATTTACATTTTCAATTAGATTGGACCTTAAGCCTTTTTTTATCATAAAAACATTCATAATCAATTTATTTAAATTTTGACAAACCAATTATCATGACGTATTTCTAGATCATGGAAAAATTGATACTTCATTTTAATCTGTTGGATTTTATTTTTAACAAAAGAGAAGGTAAAATAGAATTCGTATTTGCATAATACATTTCACATACTATTTAAATGTATGAGGTACATCACAATTAATTCAATGTAAATTTATATAAATACTTGTTTATAGAAGATATTAATTATCCTCAATTCTTACATTACGATACGAATGTTGTTTATGCTGATTAATGTTGAATATGTTGTTTTAAATAGCTGAGTTGTGTTGTATGTTGTTTGAGCTGTTAATGTTGTTAAGCTGAGTTGTGTTGTATGTTGTTTGAGCTGTTAATGTTGTTAAGTTGAGTTGTGTTGTATGTTGTTTGAGTTGTTAATGCTGTTAAACTGAGCTGTGTTGTATGTTGTATGAGTTGTTTAAGCTGAAATGATGAGTTGTTGATTACTAAGATTAGAGGAGATGTTTTTCGAAGATGCTCATCCCATTGTGTGGATTGAGGAAGCTGTGGTGCTCTTAGAGCCCAATTTGTTGAAAACCCTCCTTGGGAAGCTGTCCTTTGGAGTGGTCATTGTTTTGTTCTCCTCTAAGTACTTAGTTGGTCCCGTGTGTGGGCAATGTCGATGCACACGTGTACAAAGCGACCACGGTATAGGGGTTAGGTCGAGTTATACTGATTACAAGCGATCAATCGAGTGAAGTACGAAGTCGGGAACTTAGTTCCTAACTGAGTATCGGAAGGTTGTGGTATTTGGAGGATAGTCGGTAGACTAATTTTATAGGTGGCTTAGTTAAGCTAGCTAATATCGTGGTAGGCCTAAAACCCAACTGTTCTATCTTGACATAGTACCATACTTCCTTGTTTAAGTGGCAAAGTCTGAGAAATCGTGAAGTTGTGATTGATATCCAAATTGTTGTTTACCTAGCAACCTAAAAAGGTTCTTTGTTGTCGGTTCGGTAGGACCTAACCACTTAAACTGCTCACCCATGTTGTAGGAGATCTCCGTGTTGAATTGCGTGACGATGCATAAGCTGTTAGATGTTGATTTTGTTGAATGATATGAGTTGTATGTGTGCAGTGTGTTGTGAAGCTGAGATGTAGATGTATGCTGTTATGTGTTGTATGTTAACTTTGTCAAAATTGATAATGTGTTGTTAAGTTGAAGCTGTTTATAATCATTTATATGCTGATTCTTTTCACTAGCTTACCCTTGCCTGTTTCCATGTGGGTTGGACTACAATGATCATACTGTGTATGGGAGCAGAGCAGGGATAGGCTGGAGAGTAGTAGCAGGACTACAGTTGGCAACTAGAGTTGATTTTGTTGTTTATGGCTACTTAATGTAGTTATTTTGTAGTTTTGTATATTGTCTTGTTGAGCCACAGGCTAGACTTATGTATATATATATATTTTCTTCTATATGCGTACTCTGTTCCTATGTGGTGATGTTTTGCTGTGTAATGGCTAGGCGGGTCATTACAGGGGATGGGTTTGACTCGCGGGGACGTGGACGGGTATCATGAAACTCATATCCGACCCGCTCTGTTGCCATCCCTACTGTTATGTGTAGAACTCATTATCCCACCAGACATACCTTCAAGGCATTGGCGTAGCTCAAATTAGGAAGTCTCTATCTTACTTGCATCAGACATAGGATTGATGGCTCCAGGCTTAAGGAGAAAGAAAAACCTCCGACTTGGTTATGTTAGGCATGATTTGAATGGAATTGGGCGTGAGGTGAGAGAATTAGTTATGTCTAAACTGACATTGGGCATCAATGGAGTGACATCAGATGTGAGATGAGAGACTCATCTTTGCCTGATTTAGGGTCGAGTGTGGACTTTATCACACTAGGCATAAGGGTCCAAGGGTTCTCTACCTCATCCACGTTAGATGCAGGTTGAATGGTATCAAACGTGGATGAGGCAGAGGACCTCTACCTCGATGGCATTTGATGTAGGGTGTGTAGCATCGAATGCGATTTACTTTGAAAACTCTTGTTGTTTGATTGATGAAATGGTGAACATGAATAAGTTAGAGGAATCTATTTATGTTGTATGTTAATGAGTGTTATTAGTTATATATATATATATATATGTGTGTGTGTGTGTGTATATATATATATATTGATATGGGATAATATGTATATATGCTTATAATTGTTGAATATTATTGAATTGTTGAGGTGTGGTGCTAGGAATTCTTTAGGCATTTAGGCATGATATGTTCAAGCAAAGAACCTCTGCTTGAGTCACACCTGACATCACAATATTGGCCTCCAATGTTATCTAGGCAGAGAGTCTCTATTTTGATCATGTCTAACGCCACTCAACTTATGGTTCAATGTCACTAAGTCAGAGAACTTCTCGAGTTCTCATGTTCGACACCACTCATTTCATGTTCAGTGTGACAAAGATAGAGACCTCCTCATTGAGACATACCTGACACTATCAATTCCACACTCGACATGATTAGGATAGAGAGTTCCTAATTGGAGCCACATCTAGCGCTATGAAGGCATGCCTAATATGATGAGAATTTTCACACTTAGCAGAATCTCATTTTGGCTCAATCCACTTGAAATCCAGCAAATGACCAACATGCAATCATATTTTTCACATATCCATAACTAATACAACACATTTCCAAGACAACATACAACATGAAACCTTCACAATTCCACAATCACTAAGTTTTCTTCCATACCACCAATAAACCATTAATTCATCTTAATTCAATCAAAACAGAGCCATACATGAATGAATTCCAACTGTAGAACAACAATTGCAACACAATAATTATCAATCACAAACTTCTCTTATCTCGAGAATATCTAATTGAAAAGAGATGAAGAAGAAGGAAGAAGTGAACTACACATAATTCTAACTTGGTATTCTCAGCTTCAAAAGCTTTAAATAACCAATCTACCAACTCTGATCAACTATAGGAAGAGTTTAGGATGAATAAAAAAATGAGGAGAAGAAAGAGACTTTTTCTTTATTTTTTCTTAAAAGATGAACTTATAAGGTTCACTTAAGAAATATCTTATATATCCCTACTATAATTGACCTAATTAATTCTAACCTAAACTAACCTGGAAACTACTTAATTACCAAAAACCTCTTGACTCTGAGAATTTTGAAACATAACAATAATAAAAAAATAACCATTTAATCATATAAATAATTAAAACACCTAAAACATGTGATGTTATATATTTCCTTCTCAAATTCCTTAACAAATTTAAGGTGAATGGTAATATATAAACTTGAAAACATTGTCTCTTCTCATTGATGCAAAGTTTAAACATGGGCATGTGTTCTAACGTCATTATTTTGTCAAAATGTTGAAATTGGAATGTTCCAGCACTTCCATGATCCCTTGTTGGTTTCCT